CATATGGGCTGAAGGGGGAGGGAGGCCACCAGAGTCCTGAGGGCCCCCTTGCTCCTGCCTCTTGCTCCTCAGGAATTTCAGGAATGGTCTTCCTTTCCTCCCAGTGACTGCCGTGGGCAGCTCGCAGTGATCTCACTTCTCACCTTTGCCTCCTCATGAAGGTGTTACCACTGGGCCTGTGTGAGGACCAAAAGGTGCCCTCACCCAGACATCTTGATGCCTTCACATGGGCTAGGTTGGCCATGGGCCCCACTGACTCCCCAGGGTGCCCCAGAAGGTCTGGGAGGGCAGGTGTGGCGAGGACCTGCAGACGAACCCAAAGTGCCTCTGAGGGACTTCAGGGCCCACTGGGTGACAGGGTGAGCACCCTGGCCATGTCCTGCTGTCTCTCAGTGGCTAAGGGAGGGCCTTGACCTAATCATACGTGGGTGTGTGTATGCATATATATTTGTATACACATATAATGGAAATATATAATTTATATCTTACATATCATATATATAAAATATAAATCTACAATCTATGTAAAGGCATATTTTTACATAATATGTGATATATATATTTGTGTGTTAGGCTGTTCTTATGTTGTTATAAAGGAATACCTGAGACTGGGTCATTGATAAAGAACAGAGATTTAATTGACTCTCGGCCCACGGTTCTGCAGGCTGTGCAGGAAGCGTGGCACTGGCATCTGCTTCTCAGGAGACCTCAGGAAGCTTCCAATCATGGTGGAAGGGGAAGGGGGAGCAGGCAGATCACATGGCCAGAGCAGGAGTGAGAGCAAGGGCGGGGAGAGGAGCCACACACTTAACCAGATCTTGTGAGAATCACTCACTACCACGAGAACAGCACCAAGCCATGAGGGATTTGCTCCCATGACCCAGACACCTCCCACCAGGTCCCATCTCCAACACTGGGGATTACATTTCAACATGAGACTTGTCAGGGACATATATCTAAACTATGTCTATATATATATACAAAAAATGCTATTATTGTTGATATGTTTTACAAGTGTATTGTCCATTTTCATACTGCTATGAAGAAATACCCAAGACTTATACCCAAGAAATTAGAATTTCTTTCTAATTTATAAAGAAAAAGAGGTACAATGGACTCACATGCTGGGAAGACTTCACAATCATGGCATAAGGCAAAGGAGGAGCAAAGGCATGTCTTACATGGCAGCAGGCAAGAGAGCATGTGCAGGGGAACTGCCCTTTAGAAAACCATCAGATCTTGTGAGACTTACTATCATGAGAATAGCACAGCAAAAAACCCACCCCCATAATTCAATTACCTCCCACTGGGTCCCTTCCACAATTTGTGGGGATTATAGGAGCACAATTCAAGATGATATTTGGGTGGGGACACAGCCAAATCCCATCAACAAGTTACTTTTTTCTCCTCAGTTTGTATTTAAAGCCCTCAACTCAGAGCAGCCAGACTGGGCAAACCCATTCTTCCTCATCTCCTCTGCGGACTAGCGAGGCAGGAGCACAGCATGACCGGAGGCCCAGCTACTGTGGTCAGAAAGCCAGGCTTACCAGACCACCTGTGTTTCTAGATCCTTCTCTTTCAAAGACACGACCATCAGTTTGAAGGAGAGAGAAACACATTCCTTGGAGCAGAGAGAAACTGCTTAATGGGTGAGGGGTTTGGCTTTGGAGCGGTGGAAATGTTTTGGAACTAGATGGAGGTGGTGATCGCACACCATTGTGAATGTTCTAAACACCTCTGAATTGTTCACTTTAAAATGGTTAATTTTATATGACTTTTTAGAAACATTTCCCTCCCTGCTTAGATCTTCCCGGTTCCTACAAGTGATTCCCAGGCTTCTTCCATCCATGGCTTTCATCTCCAGCAGCAGCAGGTGGGAGTGGCGGTGAGCAGGGTCCACAGGTCCTGAGAGAGGGTAGGCTCGTGCCCCAGGCTGGAGCCTCCTACCCAATTCCACAGCAGCCCTTTCTGTCCAGCACAGTCCATGAGCCCCCGCCAGGCCCTGCCCCTGGTCTGAGAACCTGAAATGCAGAGGTGACTCGGACATGGAAAGGAGACACAGGCCTGGCCAGATCCCAGGGAGGGCCTCAGGGAAGGTGTGCCACAGGAGAGGCACTCAGAAGACCAGGAAGGACAGCCAGGGCACAAGCATAGAGGGAGGAAGGGGATGGGCAGGGCAGAAAGAGGGTCAGGTGCAAGGGGGCAGGGCTTTCAATGCCAGTCGAGACCCTGTCTTGGAAATCCTGACCTTCTCTGGCCTTTGGAGGCACAGGAAGTACTGACAGCCTCTGATCAGGGAGGCCTCCCATGGGCGGAGCCTCCCTTCCCCTCTGCTGCCCCCAGTACTTCCCAGCTCCCTCAGTTCCTAGTGTCATCAGGTCTGTGCACATCACCTTCCCACCTTTTAAATACATAGGCTCCCTAGACATACAGTGACGTGTAGGTAGAAACAACTGTCACCATTGAGAGGCAGTTCTTCACCCCCAAATACTAATAAGGTCTTTAAAACATCAGAGGCAGAAAGCCTGGGGGGTGGCTGGCTCGTGCGTTCTGCAGGGGAATAAGGAAGCAGTAGTAGCCTCTAGCTTGCTGGTGTGTGCAGAGGCTGAGCTCACTGAGAAACTCCCCCAGCGTTCGGACCTGTGCTTGTGAGCACTCACGATTTCCAGGGCCTGTGCACAGTGCCTGGGTGTGCAGGGAAGACTCTGCTATGGACCCTGCTGTCTGTCTAGCAGGCAAGAGAAGCTGTGGGAGAGGTGGGTGTGTGCAGAGAGCGGGAATTGAGGACAGTGACAGGTGGAAACAGTGGGCTTCAGGACTTCAGTGGGGAGGTCAAGTAGCCTGTACTGTCTAGAGCTTTGGGGTCACTGCTGCCCACCTGTGTGACTCCAGCAAGCACTGATTTCGCAGAGCCTCTGCTTCCCAGTCTCTAAAATGATCAGAAGTGTTAGGAGCTCCTCGCCCATCTCAGCAGCAGCGGGAAGGACATAGAAGTCAGGTAGAGTGTGGGGCAGCGTCGGGCAGACGGTGGTGAGAGCTGGCACACTTCTTCCTGGATATCCGGTGGGACTGGGCTCTGCCCCTCTCTAGAAGGCTTTGTGGCTCTTCAAGTCTCCTTTATTCAAGGCTGAACTTTTTCATCTGTGAAGCAACACACTTGCATAGGTGTCAGAGTTCACTCACAGGTCTGAATGCATGATATGCTGAACGAGATTGTTTGGGGCTTTTCCCTTGCCCCACTTTCTGGGGGAGTGTTGCCCTGTTAGGGCCCTTTGTCCAATCTCTTCCCACAGCTCACAGCAGGTTACTGGCACCACCTGAGATGGAGAAGGCCTCTGACCAGGAGTCTCTGAGTCCAGCAGCCACACTGGACAGCGGCCCTTCCAAGCAAGGAGGGCTCGGGAAGGACAGCGGCTGTAGCCAGCTGTGCCATTTCTTCTTCACAATGACCTAAGAACGTTTTGTTTCTTTCCTTCCCTAAAATAAGGTGTGAACATAGCTTTGTTATGTTTTATTTCTGTATGAACGTAGCACGAGCCATTCGTCTCCTGCTGACTGGGGAGGATCTGTCCCAGGCTTCTTTTCCTTCTCTTCTATCCTTTCCTCCTGCTTTGCTGCTTTCCACTTCTGCTACTCTCCTTTGTTAGGACTGAAAAAAAAATGACCACTTAGGTTCCAGAGAAGTCATTCCAGGAGACAATGCGGGAAGCAAAGATTGTCGTTCCTGGAAGCTCACTCACCAAGGCTTCTACTCTGCTTACTGTAATTTCAGGTTTCAGGGAGAAACAGGGTGAGCAAAGTAGAAGGGTACCTCAGGGTACGGCCACCCCTGACTATGGGGCTCCCCGTCCCTGCACCACAACCAGGTCCTGCACTACTGCGGCCGCATTGGGCCCTTGTGGGTTCCCAACTCCACCCAGCCCTGAGGAAGCAGCCAGCACTGGAGAGGCCTGCCACTGTCCCAGTAGCTGCGTGGCTGCCGCATTGGCACTGAGAGTGCCTGCATCACGCCTCGTCTAGTGTGACCTGATCCTTGGCATGGCAGGACTTCCAGTCCTGGTGTGGCACCAGAGTCCTCCTCTCTGAGGTTATAATCTGTAGAGGAGCACTCACTCATGGAGGCACACCCTGGGTCATTTTTGTGTGCTTTTGACAGTGATGCCCTGGGACAGGGTGGAGGGAGGGGCGGCCACAGAAAAGGAACCGTGCCTCAGAACCATGGCCCTGGACCCCTGGTTTTTCCATTCGCTGCGTCCTGTTCCATGCTCTTTCTCTCTGTTAAAATTGAGTGCATTGGTGAGCCTCGAGTAAGCCCTCGACGCCCTGGGTCTGAGTGACTGAGAGCGACAGTGACTGTTGCCCCCACCTGCCAAGCACCCACTCTGTGCAGCGCCGGCCCGGTGCCCCGCACACTCCGCTTCCGATGCACAGGCACCCTGGCGTGTAGGCGGCGCCGTCTTTTTCAGTATAACTTCAGTTGCTCATCTGCAGTTACCAGCTGGGATTCAAACCCAGCCAGTCTGACTCCTGAACTCCTCTTTCCTCCCACTTAGTGACTTTAGTCTCTAAGGTGACCTTAGAGACTGTCTAATGCACGTGCTCACTGCTTCGTCTCCGCACAGCCTGTCCCTGCCAGCTCTGTGTCACCTTCATTCGGCTGCCAGCCCCTGGTGACTTCCCAGTTACAGATCAGAGAGCAGACTCCAGGGGTGGAGAGTGGGGGTTCTAGACCAGCCCCTCTCAGCTTCTACAGCTCTTGTCTACATAGATGCCTGGTGCTCAGGGTATGATGAGGCACCTGCCTCTCTCAGTAGGTTGTGTGTCCCAGCAGCAGGGGTGGGACCTGTCCTCTCCCATAGCTCTCACACACCTGTGCTGGGTGTCACCTGGCTCTGTTCTGTGACGCATTCATATTCTCTGTGTCAACATCTTCAGTTGCTGGACATCTAAATGCCATCTTCAATACCTTTAATGCCATCTTTTTTTTTCTTTTTTTGCAGCAATGGATGGTGTGCCTTTCATGATTTCAGAGAAGTTTTCTTGTGTTCCAGAAAGTGTAAGTTTTATGCATGATTGCCCTTCCCCTCTGCCACCCTCAACTTAAGGTCCCTCCATCCTGATTTACATGGCACACAGGGCTGTTCTGGCAGCACTCACGCTCCCTCCCCGGAATCTTGTCTGCTTGCATGTCCTCTCTCCTGCTGGAAGCTGAACCCCGCAGCCCAGTGACAGTGACTCCCGAGGTTGAGGATGGGCCATGTGCATCTCTGGCCCTATCAGCCAGCACCCCATGTAGTAGATGTTTGAGAAATGAAGAAAGCAACAGCTGAGGGATGGGAAAGGAGCAGGAGGCTGTCAGACAAGCTCAGGAGGCTGTGGAGCCGAGCCTTTTCCTGCCGCATGTGATTAACTCGGCCTGAACGTCCCCGGTTGTGAATGTTCTTTGTCTCCCGAGTCCAGCTTAGTATATTTTGTTCTTTCTTATTTGAGGATGACAGTTTCCTGTCAAAAGGAGGCTTCTTCATTTTCCCATTGTCGTGGCTGCATCCTGCCCTCTGACACGGGGGCGCCATGCACATGTGGTGCCTCTAGCCATGGTCTCCTGCCCACACCAGGCAGCGTGGACCTCACCGTCCACATCCACACTCTCACTCAGGCCAGGCCCACGCCATCTTTTTGTCAGAGGGACCGAGTGAGCTAGCTGGGACCGAAGGCTGACTTCAGACCGTGAGGGCCGCCCATCCTGCATGGCAGTGGGGTGTCTGTGCCAGGCCACAGGCTCTGCCTGGCACTGCTATGGTCAGCCCTCCAATGGCGCCAGCCCCCAAGGTGGCAGTGGCCCCCTCCCAGCCATGCAGGCTTGGCCCACGCTGGCTCAGAAAACCCGTTTCTGGTTTTGATCCTTTCTGCAGAAGTTGGCCTTGAGTAGCTAATAATCGTGAAGGCCCCAGCTTGGGCACAGCTAAAGAATCCTTCAGTGTTTTTCTTGGATCCAGCTTAAAAACCACCCGGCTTGCGATTTGACCTGCTCTGTAGTTTCCATTTTCGTGAAATAGAATAGGCCTCCTCTGAACCCTTCTGGTAAGCAGCTTAATCTTGAAAAACGCTTGTGACGTGCGAGCTCCAGTAACTTCAGCCGACTCCATGGGGCCGCGTTGCCATGGCGACGCTGGCGCCTCTCCCGCAGTTCCCTGGGAGAGGCTGCTCTGTCCTGTGCACCAGCTCCAGTTGGGAGAGTTTAGTGAGGTGGTTAGAGCCTAATGACACAGCAGCTGCACCTCTACTGGGTCCCAGGCATTGCGGGCAGGCGGCCCCACTCTCGAGCCCCTCGGGCTGGCAGCACAGACAGCACCACACTGTTCCATGGCTACCGGCAGAGCAGCCGCGAGCTGAGTGTATGACTTGGTGGCCCCGTCCCAAGACCGCCCTCGGGAAAGTGCTGCTGCCGCCTGGCCAGGACTCCAAGGCCACAGACAACCAGGCCCGATGCCCTGCACTCCCCACTCTTCTCAGTGCAGCGCCGTGCAGCAGCCCCACCAGGGGAGCCGCCGCTTTCAATGGGCGAGGAAATGAAGAAGGGATTTAATTCGCAGCTGCATGGCGAGGAGGCGCTGAGGCTAGTTTTGAGTCTGGGTCCTCAGACTCCAGAGCCAGCCTCACAGGAGATCCCTGCTGGCTTGGCGGAGGTTCCGGCTCCACTCACACCCCTGGGCTACTGCCCTTTAGGACCCTGAGGGCCCTGGGGTTCTGTCAAAGGCCTTCAGGCTTAGCCTGGGCCCCAGGAGGCTGCGCCAGGGACCCCTCAGGGTACACAGAACACTGGTGTGCCCAGCAGGGACTCTCAGACCAGGAGCCACATGGACTGGGTGCCCTCTGCCCTTGGAGCCTTTGAGTCCAGGCTTCTGTGGGCCTCCCGCTCACTCACTGCCATGTGTATTTGATTTTTCATGCTGTCTGTTGAAAAGCCAGCATTTTTTTTAAGTCTCCAATCTTTATGAAAGTATAAAAACTCTCATTAAAATGCAGTGTTATCATTTTTACCACATTGATTTCTCACATGGTCATTGATGGGCAGTTGTTTCACTTGGAATCCTCCCCAGCTCCTGCCCTGGATTCCCCCTGAGGAACTCCTCCTCCCTGGAGTCCTGTTAGACCTCCTGCCTTACCCAGACAGGGTGGCTGGGCGGCCTCCGGGGAGAGCTTGGGCACCTGCGATTTACAGATGCAGCGAGAAAGAACAAACCTTGCCTGCATGTTCCACTGGCAAGGGGCAAAGAGAGGAGAAGCAGGCCAGCCACAGTCAGTCCTCCAGGAGACCCGGGCCCCCCTGAGTGCCACAGACAACAACTAGGCAGAGGTCCCACAGCACAGGGGCCGGCACCTCGAGGGCCACATTCCTGCTGCAGGCCTTCATAACTCCTCCTGCTACCCCCACGCATGACTGAGAGTCCCACTGACGGTCTTCCTGTGGAAAGTGGGTGGGGAAACACTAGATCACACCATGGTTGAAGATGTTGCCATTGCCATGCATAAAAGTACGTGTGGGAGGAGCATTTTCCAGCCATTTAAAAGGGTGACTTCATCTGTATTTTCAGATGCAGCCCTTTGATCTCCTGGGAATCACCATCAAATCTCTAGCAGAAATTGAAAAAGAGGTAAGCAAGCCGTTGGGGAGGAGAGGTCTGGGCATTGCCCACACAGCGGGGTCTCTCATGCTCCCCTAGGGATCCACTCCAGGGGAGGGACAGGTGGAAGTGTCCCTTTCTCTTCTGAGGAAAACACTTTCGTTTCACTGAAATGTGTGTCTTAGATAAAGTAACTCAATTCTAATGTATTTCCTGCTTCCAGTCAAATATGACCCACAGCTTGTCTTCTCTAAGTCAGAAGGTTTTACATAACAGACAGAGCCATCAGTTCTCCTTTCTGAAAAAGAGTCTCAGCTTTGGGACGGTGTGGGTTGGAGGACAGGCACCAGGTTGACTTTTCTTCCTCCATTTCCTTTATTATTTGCCACCAGGAGGGGTTTTGGGAAATGACGGAACCTCTCCACAATTTAGGGGCGTGTCAGGATACCTTCCGCTGTGCTTCCTAAGCTGGAATGCATCTGGCAGCCTGGTTCCGAACAGTTTGTACCTTTTCCTCATAAAAAAGAAAGAAAGCCGGAACTGGTGTACGGATGACAACTCTGAGGAAAGGGGGTTGAAATGATGGAATCAAACTGGAGTGAGACCACCGGGGCCCTCCTGTTTCCCTAAGACAGCACAGGGTGTGTGGCTTCCCTTCGGCAGAACGGGTTGTTTAGCAGTCACACGCCACTGCCAGCTCTCCTCCGAGAGGAGCATTCATCTCAAAGATGGAGATGGTAGAACCATTTCAATATTCTCCATTCCTTGGGGTTTTCTCCTGTGTACCGGATAGCAGAAGCAGCCTGCATTATTGAAAGATGGCTGAAATCAAGCAAAATTGAATCAATGTAATACAACAAATTTCTAAAGCTGTCATAGCAAAAACAAAACAAAAAAGTCCCCCTTTGTCTTTGATTTTTGGTATATCATAAAAACCAACCTGATTGTCATATATAGATTTTTTCTTTTTTTTTGATAACTTGGGGTAAAAAATGGCTGGCTCTGACATTAGAAACATAGGTGTGCCTAGAATTTCATGACTGCCTTTCTCAAAGCAAGGGAGCACACAGGGCCCTGTGTGGGGTGCATCCCAGGGAATGTGAGAAAGGCCTCAGAAAGGCTGCTGCTGCCACAGGTGGTCACCAGAGCAGCGGCCACATTGATAGACCTCCAGACCAGCCCTCTCCACCATGGATGGGGGCAAGTCACTTCCCCGCCATTTGCCGTGGGACAGTGGCAGAGCCTGTCTCACAGGTGCTCTGTGATGCCAGATGGATGCAGGTGTGACGTGCTGGCAGCACGAGCCCCAGCGTCCAGCCATCTCCCCTCCTGTTCTGCTTGGGCTGCCTGTGCCTCACAGTGGCACTGTTTAAGCACCTGCCGTGTGCTCAGCTTGGGGCCTGAGGCTTTACATACATGATCACTGGTTCCCACTCCAGGCCTCGTTCCTCCCTATGTCATGGGGTGAAACTGAGACTCTGAGATGAGCAGTAACTGGCCTAAGACAAGATGGAGACCCAGTTTGCTGTGCTCCAAAGCCTCTCCACTGACGAAAGGGGCAGCTCTGTGTCCCTCCAAGGGGGCTCTCTAGGCCGATGGGGACAGTGTGGTCTGGGAGGCCAGTCAACCTGGTTCCCAACCCTGGGTGGGCCTTTGAGGTACTGAGGTGGGGTGAGGTGGGTGAGGGTCCCAGTGTGGGGCCCAGGGCATGTGGTGGGAACCCTGTAAACCTTCATTCCCTTTCCCACTCTAAGAACTGAAATCTGTTTCATTACAATGTAGCGTCTCAGTGTTGGGTGCCCTGAGTCATAGTGTGGCCACCCCCAGGAGATGCAGAGCCAGGGTGGAGATGCACCCTAGAGTCAGTGCCTGGCTAGAATCTCAGATCTTCCACTGACTTTTCTGAGCCAACATTTCTTTTTATGCACAATCAAGATAGTAATAAAAGTGCTTAGTCCAGAGTCTATGTGGGTTTAACTGAGAAGGTCCAGTGAATGATGGCCTGGACCAGTGCCTGCATCAGTGGCTGCTGGCTGCCACCATGATCACAACCGCCACCATCACCATCATTACCATTCTCCTTGTCCACGGAGAAGGACATGAGTCAGCGCAAGCCCACGCATTCCGCCATCCCACCGCTCTGTTGCTGGGGCCAAAAGCACCATCCCTGTGGACCAAGGCCAGAGGTATTTTTTGGGTTTAGTAGCAGGTTAAAAAAAACAGGTCTGGCCTAGGTGTGATGGCTCATGCCTGTAATCCCAGCACTTTGGAAGGCTGAGGCAGGCAGATCACATGAGGTCAGGAGTTTGAGACCAGCCAGGCCAACATGATAAAACCCCATCTCTACTAAAAATATCCCCCAAAAAGTGCCGTATGTGGTGGCACTTAGCCAAGTGTGGTGGGGCACACCTGTAGTCCCAGCTGCTCAGGAGGCTGAGGCAGGCAAATCTCTTGGGCTGGGGAGGTGGAGGTTGCAATGAGCCGAGATTGCATCATTGCACTGCAGCCTGGGGAGAGTCTCACAAAAAAAATAAAACAAGTGTGTATTTGTTATTGAAGTAAATTGAAGTCGACGTAAAGAAATGCAGGGAATGGGGAGCGATTAGAACCTTAAACAGGGTAGAAAACCGTAACAAGTATCGCCGTAGTCAAGAGCACCGCAGAGTTTTTCATTTAACCTGAGGATTTAAAAGTTCCTTGTACCAGCCAGTCACCTGCTCGCACTGTTGATGTCCACACACTCGGGCCCACTGGCTCCTTCCGAGGTGCTGACTGAAGCTTTTCCCCAAAAATAAACCTGAAGTTGCTTCTTTTAGCCACTGATCTCGGCATTGCTTGTGGGAGTTGGAGGCCCAAGGAGAAGTGGTGCCCGGAGCCAGAGCGACTGGTTGTCACCCCTGGGCTCTGCGTGTTTGGCCCTGGAGCGGGCTGGGTGTCCCCTGGGTCAGGGTATTTGATTTTGTGCTTTCCGTTTAGAACAGGTCTGGCTGCCCTTGGTGTGGAGCCTGGGGGTAGAGAAGTCTCTGCTCAGACATTTGCTTTGCTCACTGTAAACCTTTGTATTTTATACCATTAAACAAAAAAAAAAAAAAAAAAAAAAGAGTAGAGTAGATACAGTGGGAGGCTGCTTTCAGGTTCAGGGGCACAAACTATGCCCGTGCCTCCCTTTCATCCAGAACAGCTCCTCAGGCTCGCCTGGATTCCCAAACACGGTGGAGAGCCCGGCAGCCAGAGAGCACTGCTCTGTGCTGGGCAGGTGCTTCCCTTCGTGATCCCTCTGCACCCATGGGAGGAAGTGGGGCCCACCCATTTACAGGAGAAGTCTGGACTCAAGAAGTTAAGCAACAGGCCAGACTCCCACAGCAGCGGCCCAGAGCTGAACAGGGCCAAGTGTGACCCTGGCCAAAAGCGTGACAGTCTTCATCTAGTAGAGAGCAGTCCCACCTTGAAGGGAAACAGAAGTGTGAACCTGAGGGTGCACTGTCTTGTCTGTCCAGAATCGTGGCCAGTGTGCCTTCTGCTAGCATTAACTGTCCTCGCCGGCCCTGCCTAAGGGAAGTTTCTGAACTGAAGCCCAAGCAAAATTGCCACCATTCAGCTTCAGGGACGGTCACCCTCCAACAAACCCCATGACCCTGTGCACCCTGAGCATGGAGGCTAGGGATGAGGGCAGCCAAAGGGAGCCCCCCAGAGCCAGTCAAGCATAGCTGCCCTACCCCCAGCAAGGACACAGATGGCCTGAGCCTGCCAGGCCCAGGAGCTGCCTGGCATGGATTGACAGACAGGGTGTCACCCGGTTGTGGGTGGGCAATGTCCCTCAGCCCCCAGCATCCTGAGGAGCCCCAGGAAGCATGCACTGCTGGGCCCAACAGCCAGGCCGCCTGGAGAACAGGAAGGGGAGCTAGCACACTCAGACACTGGTGCCTGCAGGGACCCTCATGGGCTGCGTAGACAGTGGACGGGACACAGCCTCCCAGTGTGGATGCCTGGGGTTGGGGACAAATCTGCCATCTAGATTTGGCTCTGGGGCAAGTTCCCAGTCACCCTCACCCCAAATTGGAGCACAGGCCTGCTCGTCCAGCCTAGCGCACAGTGCAATGGTCAGGGCACCTGGCAAGCTGCCCTGCTCTTCACCGGGGTCTCCACAGGAGTCATGGTACCTGATGCACTTGGGTGAAGTTTCACGACAAACGCCCAAGAATGGTCATATTTTAAAGTTAAAATTAATGTATGCGCCATTGAGCAAATTTTGAAGAAAAGGATCTTTGAAGACAAAACCTCTCGGATGTGCTCCATGATGGCGTGGGTGGGCGAAAATGAAGGAAGCCGTGATTCACAGAGAAATTCCAACTCAAACACCTGCCAGCACCCTGTGACAGAGTGACAGCCTCCTGCCTGGCCCGTGTCTTCCAGCAGCCTGTGTTCCTGTCTCCTCTGTCACCTCACACCCAGAGCAGGATGACGCTTCACCGTCCTCCCAGGGCTCATATATATCAGTCCCAGGCATGAGGAAGTAAATTTAGGTGACAGGGGACTGGCCGGCCAGTGGCAGCCTCGTGGTCACAGTGGGCAGTTTTCTGGCCCTGGCCCCATCTGTCCCTGTCCTGCCCCCTCCCCTCCAGTTTGGCTCTGCAGGAGAGCAGTGGGTGACCCAGTGGGGCTGTTGTCCCAGTGAAGCCCTTATGGTTCTCCCTGCTGCCCAGACAAAAGGCTGTCTATGTCCTGGAGCCTGGAAAGTGTAATTTCGCAGCCAGCACCCATGATGAAGCATCTTCTCTGGGCATGAGGAGATGGGCGTATAAATATTGTCTGTCTCTGCTGCTCTTTATTTCCCTGGTAAGCAGTTGCCCCATTTCTCCAGCTGATGGATTCCCCATCGCAGCCAGGGTGGGAGCTCCCTGGCTCTGCCGTCCAGGCAGCAGCTTCTAAAATCATCCTCGTGTCTTGGTTACCTGTGTATCCTCCCTCCCCACCCATGATCCTGCCCTGGCCTCCCTGGCAGACCTCACCGTCACAGCCAGGAGGCAGCA